TTTGTGCAGGGAACATTTGTTGCATATGTGCACTGCGAGTACCTTGCATGCCGAATCCCGTCTGGTCCTCTGTTTGCTGTGTAAACTCGGAATAATGACGCTTATATCTCGCCCCATACAGCAGTAGAGTTATAAATTGTCGCCTGATAGTTAACCTTTAAGATTGAAAATATGTATATTGAAATTTCATGTTCATGTTTCAGCAGGAACGAACACCATGTGGCTCTGAAGTTGATGACTGTCGCTTTTAGAAAGTCCATACTTATCAAAATGCAACATCATGTCATAGTGTTAGGGCGTGTGCCATGTAAACGCTCTGAAGGAGCGCGTAGTATAGCATTTCAATGCCTTTCTTTGCCGGATCACTCAAACTGTTTATGGTACCTGCGTATGTTTTTATGTTTGACTCCTTTTGACTGAATCATTGATAGCCAACCGTGCATCTACTCGGATTTACTGTTTACTTAAGGGCTAAGCTGTACTGACATGGAAGATATTAAGCATTTAGTGCTGCTGTGAAATCCGAAGCTGTCTGTCAGCTTCAGCGTGTTTCTGTGTCTCGTTCATGAACCTGATTGGAAGATTACGATACATCCTCTTCGTCGCATTAGTGTCCAGTCGTATCACAGCTGACGAGATGAAAATCGGACATGCTGCCAATGATCATGCCGTTAATCGTCTCCTGGCGCACATGCTAATTAAGTACAAGATGTTCAGCTGTTTTTCAATAGCCAATTATTTCTACCATATGACGGCTTTGATTTCGAAACTACAGGTTTAATAGCGCTTGCAGCTTTCTGAGGTCTTAAGCGTCCAACTACTCAAATATTGATATGGCTTTGATCTCCATTCAGCATCATTTTACAGATGATTTCTCTCAGACCAGATTCTTATTTGACATACTCGATGATACGAACAACTTATGATTTGCATTACATGAAATTATTCCATCGAAAGCTTGACTTTGATATCCGAAACAAAATGTGTTGTACTTTGTTAAAGAGTACGCAATTGACCGATCTTCTGCTCAGTCGGCGAGTGGAATAATGAATAGAAATTTAAGGAGGAACAAATGTAGATTTTGGTCTTCAATACTTCCACCCATGTTTACAGTCAGAATAGTTTCATATAGCGATGATCAAGGGAGATCCTTGATCACTCTCTATTACGGGTTTTGTACCGTTTTTGAGTTCATCTCCAGTTACCCCGACTACGGCTGTTCAAATAGATTTTATCATACCTTTACCTAATATACAATCCATATTTGATCTTAGTTACACAAAGCTTGGAGATTCGTTATCGTATAATCGTTGATTGAATACTTTGTCAGTAAGATGTTCCTTTGCTGGATAGTTTTGGAATCCTCTCTCGATAGCCACGACCAATGGATCATTTTGTATTTACCAGTTTTGACAATCTAGCTCCGTCGCTCTGACTGACTCCTATAAAAATTACACTTATTAAATCGTACTTTTCATCTTTCTTGGAATATGGCCACCGTACAGGAAAAAGGGTTCTGTTGATAAGTGCTCTTCCTGATCTGGAATATTTTCAAAATCTTGTTAATTCTGTCGAAATATTTTTGTAGACTCATTTCCAAATATGAATGGATTTTTAATTTTCTCAGTTGATGATTTTTCGAAATCGTTAGCATTGTTTAAGTGTTGCTAGTGGTAACGAATGATTTTTCATCGCCGTTCCTCATTTCATGCAATTTCGTAAAATCAACAAAAAGGACGGTTACGGTTTGGATAGATTTCCGCCTTTGTATCCGACCCACCCCAAATTAGTCGACCCCGCTGTGGAATTCTCGTCTGACGTATTGTTTTTCAGTCGTTTATACCATATCCGGTCCTCCAGTTCGTTGCACTGTTGCCAGGTACACGGCAAAAGAGCCAATGTCGCTGAAACCGGTTGTTTTTTTTGGGCAGCAAAATCGTCTGAGTGTTGAATAAGTGAAGATTTGTTGAATGTGCGTTTTTCCTTTTTTCGGATTTCAGCTTCTTTGAAATGATGAGTACCATAATTGTGTTCCGAAACTGTTTCAATCCCGTGTCTTTTTCGTGCATAAATGATCACTTCAATTGTTCTAGACAGAGTAAAACAGTTGTTGTTGTTGCTGCTGTTGTCGTCTGAGGTACGATGTCTAAGGTAGACGCCGAATACCCGAATTATTGATGGCTGAAGGAGAAACTGATGCATTTTGCAAGTGTACCAATATGTGATTTTGTCAGATCTTCAACGCTCTTTACTCAAAATTTTCGTGGTCGGTTTTCGATCACTTCATCATGTCCTTTGTCTTTTATTCAGGATCTGCTTGTGTGTATGGATTTTCTATCTTTCAGCCAGCAAAACTCCATTCATGTACATATGAAAATTTATTGGTGGGTTAATCTGTATGCCGATGACATGGTGTTATTGATGGTTATTGTTAAACTACTGTTTTGGAGACTCTATACTTGTAAAGATTCCAAATGTGCCTTTCTGTTGACACGATGCTTATGTCCAAATACTGTCAGGAAACATCATTAGAAACAGATAAACGGAAATGCTTGAATTGCTGAGTTGCAAGCAACTGTTTTCATGACAAGAACCTTGTTTCCACCGTTCCCTCAGCAGTAATCGTAGTTGACTGATTTACACTCAGTTGAATTCGAGGCATGCACTGCATTCGGCGATCTTGTTAATAACATATACCGTTGTTGTGTATGAGACAGAAGCAGCTGTTGTTTTTGTCGAATGCTTCGTTCGTCTCGCCATCACAAAGAAGCCTATGCAGTATTCGAATACGC